TGATGTAAAAAACACGAAGGCAGAAATGTCAGAAGTAATTAAACCAAACGATGACTTAAACCCCTGTAGAAATCAACACATCCAGTTTAATCACCTTCTTAAGCTAGCGCAAGACTGCAAGTCTGTGGAGAGGGCTTCTTTATTTCTTTGGATCGTTAACAGAAACTGCATATCTTGAGCTTGATTTTGGTTCAGATGCTCCCGAGGAGAGGTGATGAGGTTGGGGGTGGCGGCAGGGCCTCAGAAAAGAGAAAAGAAATAATACAATGTTATTTGAGATGGTCTCTTCTCCCCCTCTCCTCAGCCGCATCTCCCCGCTCCCGGCTCCGTCGGCACTCACGGCTCCCCCCGCCCCCCAGCACCCAGACAGAGGCACACTGCTGAATGTGCTAAATTAGGCCATTAGAGAAATTCATTTCTCTTTATTAGTCTGTGTCAAATCCTTTTTATTAGTGGCTGGAAACGACCTCTCTTCTGCAGTAAAATGTCATGCCAGTTCACTCCTTTTATTTGTTCTGCACTGACGAGGCTCAAACTCTCACTGAATTAGTGCAGTGAGATTTATTTCCTCCAAATTTTGAACGGCTTAAGAGAGATTGGGGTGGAGGGGGCAGTCAGGCGGGAGGCGACAGGAGGAAAAGAGCGGAGAAAGATCTGGGAGGGAGAAGGTGAGCTCTTATGGAGGTCAAATGTCCTCCACTCTTTGGAAATAAAGTCTAATGGCCATCTTTCATATCTTGTTCATCATAGTCTGGGCCCTGGGGACTGGCTTTCCACATTCTTGCTTCTAGCCTCTGAAGGGTATTGATCCACAATGGGACAGATCTGGATAGCAGGAAGGGGGACTTCTTAAAAAACATTGTAGTTGGACAAACGGAAGCTCAGGGAAGGCCAAGAATAAAGAAGCAAATCCCACACCTAACTGGAACTCCTTCTCCCCATCCCTTGCCTGGTTCAGACAGGGCCATTCATGTCCCCGGTGAGTAAGACACTCAGCTCCCATGGTCCCTGCCCTATTTCACCCCACCCCACCCCAAGCCTTCAGCAAGGGCTATTGGAAAGGACTCCTTGCCGGTGGCTTCCGGCCTCATCTCCAGCCTTCTGGGGTGATATTGGAGGGTAGCTTAGAAATATAGGTCAACGCATAGCCTGGGCATCTGGGGAAGGGGCCGGGAACTGGGCTGGGAACAGCCTTAGAGGAGCCCATGGCATGACTACGGCCACAGAACCCAGCTGGGTCACTGGGAAACAGCTGGTTTCTCAGGAGGTAGGATGGAGTATTATCTCATGCATCCCCACGCTTGAGGTAGCAGGTGGCAGGTAGCAATCTGGGCTTATGGAGAGATCCAGGCAGGTGGACCGTGGGAACCACAGGCAGCTCACTGACGCTGGGTATCAGCCACAGAAAAGCTGTGGGCAAGCTCAGGTACCATCTGAGCCCCTGAGCTCAGGGATCTAGGGAGCAGAGCGAGCAGAAGCAGGAGCCTGGGAGAGCGATAAATGAGAAGAGAGATGTGGGAGCTGGGAGTGTGGCCCTGGCAGGGAGGGGCTGGAGAAAGGTGGCCATCCCAATATCCATGAGGTCTCTTCTGTGGTCCAGGGGCTCCTGGTTAAATGGGGGGTTGAGGGGAGGTGGCAACAGAAAGTATTTTTCCTTCTGAGAGATAGCAGAAGCCACAGAAAACACCCTGGATACACACACACACTGGGGAGATCTGACACCCAGAAGTGAGATGTTTATAAGAAAGAGCCCGGGCTGTGGCTCCTTATAGAAGATGCACATTATTCCCCGGCATGTGTGACAATGCCTCCACCACACCTGCGTTCCTCTTCTTCCTCATCGCCCTCCATTCCCATCCTGCCTACCTCGCTCCACATGCACTTATCTGGATTTTGTTCTAGAAACGTGCCAGGCTCCTTCCTATCTTTAGTGTTTTTCTTTTTTTCCTGCTTGGAATGCCCCTCCCTTGGATCTTTGCATGACTGCCTCCCCATCATCTGAAGCTTAACTTAAATGTCACCTCCTCAAAGAGGCCTTCCTGGACTACTCTCTGTCCTGCAGGGGCAAGAACAGTGGCGAAGAAGACTACTTTCCCCACTAACGCTAGTGCTGGGGGTCTCCATCACTGGCAGATTCCCTCTTCCCCACCCCACATAGCATTCATGCCGTGTACACAGAACACACAGTCCCCTCACACATACTGCATACAAATAACACAGAACGCATGCACACACACTGCATACAATATAGGGTGCATGCACACTGTATTCACAGCATGCAAAATCTGAACCCCACTTTCGTACACACAACCTCTATGTGCACACATACTGCATAGCTGCATTGTGTAGACACCCACAATAAAAACACACGGGACAGAACACTTACACAACACTCACACTCGCTCTCATTGACAGCCTGTATTCAACCCTGGCGCACACGCGTGCACAGGCACGCGCACACAGAGTCTATCCCCTCTCTGTTCAGCAGCTGCCCACCCTCCCTGCAACCCGTGAGAAAGGAATGTGCAGTGACCGGCGGCGGCTGCAGGGCTGGGGCGGGGGCGGCGGCCCCAGCACCTGGCACAATGCTGCGGATTATTAGTTCCTGGTAATTTAGTGCCCTTGTACAGAGTCGATTTGTGCCTTTCATTCCTAATTGATCTAGTGGCTGTTTAAATGGCAGCAGGCATCTGTTGAGAGTAGGAAGGTTCATAAGGCGCAATAATTCATAACACCGTCTGGAATTTGCCTTTCATGTCCCTCAGCTAAACCACTGCAGGGCTCTGCTTAAATTACAGCCACTGAGGCTTTCTTTGGTATTCCACTCAGGGCCAGGAGAATCTTGCATTAAACTGGGATCAGGTTAGATTAGACTATAATATGCTGCGGTATTAGTGGCTGCAAATGAAGACTTACACTGGAGTTTAACCCCTTCACCTGGTTTTTTCTTTGTCTTCAACTGGATAGGTAAGCGAACCCATTGTTGTCCCTACCGGCTTCCTGCGGGAGCTGAATAGATCTTCTAGCAACTGGGGACTACGGATGCACCATCCTTAGATATTGACCCTTTTTCCTCTCCAGACTGTAATGTAGGCTGCACTCTGGGGGTCCAGCTGTTTATGCATCCGCTCCCGAAACAAGCGTCAGGTGAGAGTGTCCAGGGACAGGCGGCCATGCCAGGCGTCTCGTAGGAAGCAGGAATTTCTCTCTCCTCATCCCCTCACTGCCCCTGAGCCTGAGTAGAATGACTAGGTTGTAGGCATGAGTGTGGATGGAACTAAGCCCTTTCTGTCTTTTTGCCCAGAATTATTAGAATCCCAATACAGGCTGTGAGGGGGTTCCCCCATCTACTTACAAACACTGTGTAGACTAGATATGCAGTCTTTCTCTTGCTGTGTTCGTAGTGTAGTGGAAGGAAAAAAGCATGATCTGTTTTCCTTTTCAGGACTTACTGTGTTCTCCAATAGGGTAGCCACATCTAGCTAGTTACATTAAAATCCACTGAAATTAAATAAATTTAAAATGCAGAGCTGCAGGCACCACAGTCGTGTTTTAAGTGTCTGTTGGCTGCAGACTACCATATTGGACAGAAGAGGTTGTAGACCATTTCCATCATTGCAGAAAGTCAGGCCATGCTGACTAGAATATCCCTGTTGGCAGAGGCCTAGGAGCCAAGCCCGACATACATACTTCCTCCTCTCCCAGCAAGCAGGGCTTAACCCAGAAGGAAAGCGCTGAACTGTGTGGTCCCAAGGGACTGAGGAGAAGCCCAGAGTGGGACGGGCAGATGCTTTTTTTGGAATCACAGTGAAAGGGAATGAGGCTGCAGGGTCCAAGGTCAGCAACCTGTGCAAACACCTACTAAGATCTAATTGTTCACACATGCTGCAGGGAAATAAGAATGATACACACTTATAAGTGCAAATAGGTACACACACATACAATATGCAACAAGCTTGTATTGGGATCCACATACCTCTTCTAGACTCGAGACGCCCAGTGAAGAATAAGGTGGGCTTGGTTCTTGCCCTCATGTAGCTCACAGTCTGGTGAGGAAGGCAGATAATAAAGCAAACAGCTCAGAGAGCCATCAGCATAGGGCAGGGGCAGGGGCAGCGAAGGGAGCGTCCCTTAGAGCCAGTCAGGTAGGTGCTTCAGCTTACATAATACATCACAGACCGGTGCCCGCGCACCCCACACATGCTCACACTCACACCGTCTTCATCTGGCCATTCGTCACCAGTCACCAAATATCTAGTAAGTGCCTGCTATGAGCATGTGGGGCAAGGTCCTAAGGGAACCGTGATCATTAAGACAGGGACAATCTTGGAAGAAAACAATGATGCAGATAGTCATCGAATCACGGTTGTGCTGAGTGTACGATGATAGAAAGGTGCAGGGAGATGTTACACATGTAACGGGGGTGTCTGATCTAAACTGAGTCAGCTGGCAGACTCTGGACAGATGGAGACACCTGCCCACTGCATGTGGAGGAATATTCCAGCTCACGCATGTCCCCCCGCATACACTTGCAGAAACACAGGTGTGCACATCTGTTGCCCTCGGCTGGCTCCAGACAGCCACAAATGGGTCTGTGACCAGGCACTGTCGCTCATGCCCCGGACTTTTCTGGATGCTTCCTACGTTTCCTTCCCGGGTTGACCCTGAGCCAGAAATGGACACTTATTTCTTTGAAAGAAACTATACCCATCATCTCTCACCAAATGTCCATGCAGCTTATCTGAGCAAAGAGAAGCGTCAGGCTCTCAGTGGGGAGGAACGGAGCCTTCTGATGCCCCAGGAACGAGGAGACTGGGTCCTCCATGCCAGGGTATGAAGTGCTGTCATCCAGCTGGCGCAGGGACTCAGGATGTTCTTGAGAAGTAGGACCTTGGGAGAAGGAGTGACGGGAATGTGGGAAGGGGCCCCGGTGGCTTCCAAGCCCAGCCAGCAGCAGGTCTCTGCGTGTGCGCATGTGTGAGTTCTCGATGTCCCCGCAGGCACCCTCTTTTCCCGCTCCTGACGCTGCTGTTTGAGAAATGTGAACAGGCCACCCAGGGCTCTGAGTGCATCACCTCCGCCAGCTTTGATGTGGACATCGAGAACTTTGTCCACCAGCAGGAACAGGAACACAAAGCCTTCTTCAGCGATGACCCAGAACTGGACAATCTGGTAAAGACCCTCCGACCCCCACCCTGGCTAAGGTCTTCCTACCCTCTGATCCCTCTAAATGCCCTAGAAATGATCCTTTTATTCATACATCCATTTGACAGAAAATGTGGGGTGCCCACAATGGGGCAGGCACTAGATGCACCCATTTGGCGGCTGAGAACAATTTCTGACTCCTTGTGCCAAGAGTTGCATGCCCTGGTCTTGCTCCAAAGGCCTTTTTTTTCTCTGCTCTCTGCGGCACCAACATCCCACTGCCCAGCACCCCTTGCAGTACAGGTGGGAGGGAAGGAGAAGCGTAGGAGCCAGAAGGTCTGGAGTCGCTGCTCGGAGGACTGGAGTCCCAGCAAGTTAGTAAATCTGCCTCAGGCTGCCTCACAGACGAGGTGATGGCTCATGTGCTACAGCATAGAGGGTGAAGGCCACGGGCATATTCAAACACATCAACGGAGAAAAAGAGCTGGAGACACAGTCATGTCGAGAAGGCCAGCAGATGTCCTTTCCATCTGGGGGACACAGACATGGCTCGTAAACCCCGTTTACCATCCAGATCATCCCAACAGGGTTTTTTTTAAGTACATACCACTGGAACCCACCACCTGGGTGTGATTCAGGAACTTTGGTAGGGGTCTGTGCATATATATTTTGAAGCCTCCTGGGCAACTGCAATCGACAGTAAAAGTTGATAACCACTACCATAGGGGACTTCTGAAATTCTCTTCTCCCCTGGCAATACTGCAGAGAGAGAGAGAGAGAGAGAGAGAGCAGTAGAGAAACTGCTCTGTCCAGTCATCACAATATACAGTCACCCCGGAATTATTAATTATTAACCACAATTCTTGATTTTCTCTGGGTGGATTACCCAGATCATGCACGGTGAATTTGGAAACTACAGAACTGTCCTCCGTAAATCGGTTGCTTATAGCGCTCACCTCTTGGATCCAGCATTTAGCTGATACCTGGTCCCCAACACATACACACACACACACACACACACACACACACACACACACACACTCAGAGCACCTGTGGAACAGATCTAAGTGACTTACATATCATTCTATTCTATGAATTATCCACCCCACTGCTTCTCTCAAGACTTGAACGTGATATTTTATAGAGTCCAGAAGAGCTGCCGAGAGAGAGATCCCCCCCGGCCTGGGAATCTGTGAAGTGTTAGAGCGGGACTGGTGTTTAGAGAGAGAGAGCACGTGCCAGAGAGTAAGCGCTGGCCTGGTGTCAGAAGTGCTGGTGTTAGGTACCTGAGGGCCCTGGGTCCACTCTGCTCATCCCTGGCCCTCCCTCTTTCCTGGCCAAGACTGAGCAGCTGTATTTCCTGGGAGCCCAGCCCACTGTCTGTCCGGTCCCTTCCAGGCTGGACTGGTCCTACCCTGCCCTTCAGCTGATCACCACCTCAGAACTGCAGCTGTGAAGCAGGTCCTTGGGATTTAGACCCACAGCAGCCAGGCAGCTGGGAGAGGAGGCGGCTCTTTCTGGGGGAGCCAGAATGTGCCTGGGGGGCCAAGACTCCCTCCTGGCACAGGACACAGAAAGAAGCTGAGGCCTAAGTTGGTAGGAAACAACTAAAATCAAGCCGAGTAATATGAAAGAAAGGAAACCTTTTTAAGAAGCAGAAGTCGGGGCGCCTGGGTAGCTCAGTCGGTTAAGCATTTGACTTCAGCTCATGTCATGGTCTCGCGGTTTGTGGGTTCGAGCCCCGCATCAGGCTCTGTGCTGACAATGCAGAGCCTGCTTTGGATTCTCTCTCCCCCTCCCCCTCTCGCAGACATGTGCTCTCTCAAAAATAAATTTATTAATTAAAAAGAAGAATCAGGGGTCGTGGGGTAACAAACCTCACATACCTTGCCCACCACTGCCTGCCAGGTGAGCTACCAAAGATACGCTGTTCCAGGATAACCTGGAAAATACCGGAAAGGGGCCAGCTCTAGGCCCTCCCCTTGCTAACACTGCCTGGGTCTCTCTGGGTTTTGTTCACTCAAAGAATCCAATTTCTTGGTTCAACCCAACAAAACTTGGTTAAGTGTCTGCTACACGCACGCCCGACCTAGGGATATAGATGTAGCAGCAGCTGCCCGGTGGCCCCAGAGCTCCAGTGTTGCCTGGTCTTCTGTCCCGGTGACTGGGCTGGGAGTGGGGCAATTGGGGGAACAGTCCTCAGACATCACACCCACCCACATGGGCCTGATGTGCCCAGATGTGCTGGCCATGGTCAACAGCTGGCTGACCCATCAGTCATTTAAGTAGACTGATGCTGGGTGGCTCCGTGGGTTAAGCATCTGACTTTGGCTCAGGTCATGATCTCATGGGTCATGAGTCTGAGCCCTGCTTCGGGCTCTGTGCTGACAGTGCAGAGCGTGCGTGGGATTCTCTCTCTCCCTTTCTCTGCCCCTCGCTCACTCACACCCTCCCTCTCTCTCTCTCTCTCAAAAATAAATAAATAATAAAAATAGACCAAGTAATTAAACAATAAAATAAAAACAAAATAATAATAACATAAACGAACAAATAAGTAGAGAGGGTTAAAGGAGCACTTAGAGACAGAGGGCCTGAGCCTGGCTCCACTGCTTATGCTCTGTGTGACTTTAATGACGTAACTCCCTTGAAGCTCGGTTTCTCCGTCTATAGATCTAACACACCCGTCTCATGTGACTGGTAACCAAAAAAAAAAAAAAAAATTAACGAGATGGCATGTGGAACCAAATGTCCTTTAAAAATGCATGGCATCCAGAAGGTTAATCTCAAATGCAGTGTCACTTAGGTGAGGCGATCCACCTTCCCAAACTCTCCTCCTGGCCATCAAAGGGACTGTGTGGCTGGGCCCCTAGAACTTTATTTGGGGAGCCAAGCAGCGCCCTTTGCCACCCCATTTGTAGTTCTGTCGGGAGGGGGCGGCTGAAGAGGCCAACCACAGGAGCCATCATTAGAAGAAGAATCATGTAGCCAGCACAGCCGAGATGCACATAATTAGAAATTAGAAAAAGGTCAGATCGCGTCATTATCAGCTCAATCAGCTGCTGAGTGCCACAGCCAGTTAATTTGGCATCTGTATTTTTTACAACCCCGTACACGTAGCCCAACGGACTGTAACTCTTTATCCGGACAGATATACTGCGCAGCGGAGCAGGGACATAAAATGAGAGACCCCAAGCAAATGAGCTGAGATAATTGAGAGATTTATTTTTTATATATATGTGTGTCAGGGCGGCTTTCCTTTGCCCTTGAATATTGACTTTCACAAATGGGATTGTCAGGAGGACGTGGGTTCCCCAAAACTTTGTCCCCCACCCTGAACCCTCGAGCCACACTCTGATCCCGCTTTCTCCCAAGCCCAGAGAGCCCGTCGGCCCCTGTCCTGCCAGACCCGCCATTTGGACATAAATCCCCCCCACACCCCCACACCCCCGCCACCAGCTGCCCATTCGCCATTCCTCCAAGCAAATCCCCATGCTGGCTGGTCCCTTCCCCTGATCCCAGTATTCTCCCAGACAAGTTCCCATGGGAATGGCTCACTGAGCTCTCCCAGAGCTGCCCAAAGATCAGAGAGGTTCCCAGATCGCAGGCTTCACAGGGAACTTCTTCCCTCCCCTGATGAGACAGCTGCTTCCACAGCACACTGCTGCTGGAAGAGACACTCAAATCACAAACCACTAGGGAGAAAATGACCACGGAGAGAAGCCAGTTCAGCCCATCCCACTACCCATTTTACAGATGGGGACACTGACGTCCAGAGAAGGGAAATAACTCATTAGGACCAGATCCCAGGTCTGCTGGCTCCCAATACCCTGCTCCTTCCAGGGTCACCCCACCTCTCTTCTTTCTGGGGGCAGTAACACCCTCATTTATAAATGCCACCAGCGTCTCCAGGCCCCACCTGCTCACCCCCCACCTATCCCCTGGCGCCCCACTCACTGACCCTCTCTACCTCCCTATTTCAGTGCCATGGGTGGCTAAGCTGGCATTCCCCCTGCCCCACCATGAGCTCCTTCCCTCAAGATCTCTCCACCCCAGTCCACATACCCACCCAGAGCTCACCAGGCCCATTTCTCAGCTGGCCCACTGATCCCTTGCTTGGACCCAGCAGCCTCTGACTGGCAGTTGGTAAAGTTTGTAAAATTTGCAAGTTCCCCAAACCCCTTTGAAAGGTAAAAGCTTTTTGTTTTATAAAATCTGATTTACGGGCCCCCAGTGCAGTACCGAGGGTTTATATATTATGCAAGATTTCAAACCGAGGCTGTAAAACGTACGGTTTCAGTTTCATGCATGGAATTTTTTTATGTGTAAATTTTTTAACATTTATGGGGCACGTTTTAATGAGACTCTGGTGTGGCTCAAGGGACAGATTATGGCTGCCTGACCGCAAAGCCAGCTCCAAAACGGGGCCCCCCCAGACTCCTGGGCCCACTCTAAAGAGGTAGGGCCAGAGGCCGGAGGCTGTGAATACGGAGGCGCAGGAAGGAGCCCGGCCAGAAGTCTGGGCCCACAGAGACCTCAGGCAGCCCCATTCAGAGTCATTCACTTCAGGCTTCAGTCCCACTGTCCCTACATGGGAACAGAAAATCTTACCAACACCAGGAAAGGGAAAGCAAATAAGCATAACCAAAGATAGTCATGATTAACATTTATAAAGCACCTACTAGGTGCCAGGTGCCATTCTAAACACCTTACAGATATTCTCTTATTTAATCCTTTTTTCAAACCCATGAGGTAGGTACAAGTATTATTATTATCCCCATTTGAAGATGAGGAGATTGAGACACAAGGTGGAATCACTTAGTTCAAGATCACACAGCCAGTCCAAGGCAGAGGGACGAATCAGGTACTGCACAGGTCTCGAACTCTGGCGCCCACACTCTCAACCATCATGTTGACTTCTAGCTCCTCCTTGGGTGCACCTGCTCTTGTTTTTAATTCCTTCTAGCTGCGTCTCATTTAATCCTCAGTACAACTCTGAGGGAGTCACTATTATTATTCCATTCTTCAGG